CATGATCAACCGATGTACAGGTCTTTTGTTTCATGATCAACAGATGTCCAGATCTCTACTTCATTATCAACCGATGTCTAGGTCTCTACTTCATTATCAACCGATGTCTAGGTCTCTACTTCATGATCAACAGATGTCTAGGTCTCTACTTCATGATCAACCTATGTACAGGTCTATTGTTTCATGATCAACAGATGTCTAGTTCTCTACTTCATGATCAACCTATGTACAGGTCTATTGTTTCATGATCAACAGATGTCTAGTTCTCTACTTCATGATCAACATATGTCTAGGTCTCTACTTCATGATCAACCGATGTCTAGGTCTCTACTTCATGATCAACCGATGTCTAGGTCTCTACTTCATGATCAACCGATGTCTAGGTCTCTACTTCATGATCAACAGATGTCTAGGTCTCTACTTCATGATCAACCGATGTCTAAGTCTCTACTTCATGATCAACCGATGTCTAGGTCTCTACTTCATGATCAACAGATGTCTAGGTCTCTACTTCATGATCAACCGATGTCTAGGTCTCTACTTCATGATCAACGGATGTCCAGGTCTTTTGTTTCATTATCAGTGCCATGAGAAGAGGACATTTAGGACACTATTACATAAACTGAAACATTTAAGAATAGATTTCAATATATAAATATATATATGAAGTGCTCACATATGTGTTTACGTTTACGCCTCCATAAACGTAAAGTAATTTTGAAGTTAATTCCTGTGAATAAATAAGTCAACAATAATTACTTCACAGACTGTTTATTTAATCATTTACATAGTAAACCTGTAGACGACACGATATCGGTGACTTTGTTCATCGCAATAATGCAACATAAACCCTGTCCTCGCTGTTATCAGCCAATCAGAAAAGAGTTCTTATCTATTTTAGGTTTATGGTAACGTAAACGCAAAACAAAATTACTTGGTTACCAAATCCAATTACACTGAATCACATGCAGTTATATAGTTCAGGAAGTTCCTCCCCCTCTCGCTGTTCCTGTCAACCAGTTTCAGTAATACAGTAACATCGAGACATTAAGTACGAGAGGTTGGTAGCCCTTCTTTTAATGCAGGCTTCTGTAGTTCACCTTACTGAAACATTTGAGCATTAACCATTCAGCCAAGTGATTAAAATACAGCCCTCGCTGCAACACCATGTCGGGCCCTGTGCTTGTAGTAAAACTACTGGGAAGCCGGGATACGTTGAGTTGGGACCTGACTATTAACCTCGTACTGGCGCGTACCATTGTGAAGAATCGGTAGCGGGTGGTCCGCTGCAAGTAGTACGATGGATCTGTGCGTGCCCTGTCTTGGCTAACATCGAGTTCTAGTGGGAGTTCAGTAGCACATAATAGTACGTGCTGATGTCAGGTACCCGATTACTGCGAAAACGGTGACAGTAAATGTTGTTTGTTTGTTGTTCAACGCCGCACTCAGCAATATTCCAGCTATGTTAACGGCGGTCTGTAAGTAATCGAGTCTGGACCTGACAATCCAGTGATTGACAACATGAACACCGATCAACGCAATTTGGATCGATGACATGCATCAACCAAGTCAGCGAGTCTGACCACCCGATCCCATTAGTCGCCTTTTACGGCAAGCATGGGTTACTGAAGACCTATTCTACCCCCGGATCTTCACGGGCCGGTGACTATGTCCATATATAACAAAGTTGACAAGTATCGTGATAATGAAGGGAATTCATTTGCTGTAAAAAGGGAACACTTTTTTTACCCTAAAGAGCAATAATGATGTCATGCCATTCCTCAACTGATTGTGAAGGTAGAGACCTTGACGAAGAGTTGACTCCGTGACATATTCTTAAATTAACCCAATGTGATTTGTCTGTTTGTTTGATTGTTTGTTGATTAACGCCGCACTCAGCAATATTCCAGCTATATGACGGCGGTCCGTAAACTATCGAGTCTGGACCAGCCACTCCAGTGATTGCCGTCATGAACATCGATCCATGCAATTGGGATGCATCAAGACAGACCACCGGATTCCGTTAGTCGCGCCTTACAAGCATAGTCGGTTCTTTCGGCAAGCATTGGTTCATGAAGACCTATTCTAACCAAGATCTTCACGAGGTTGTTCCCATGTGGATGTTTAGGGGTCTTCAGTATACCGTCAACGTAATAGTGCTAGCTGGATGTATAAGATAACTGAATAATCATTGCACTAGCCCAAGTATTGCATAATATCTAGATACAGAAACCGCATCAGAATGTGAACACTTATGGCCTCCTAATAATCTTATGAGCAACACATCCACGGGGGCATAGTAAATTTCATCGTCATGACCTGCACGTGTACAACATGCGTACACCCTCTCTACCTGTAACAAACCAAGTATGTTTCCCAACTTCTGTGCACCGCCTACTTGTGTTTGTTGGTTGGTTCAACTCATCCTGGCTTACCAGTAGTAACCTGGCGGATGTTTAGAACAATAAAGAAAGGACAAGGCTGCAGCTTGAACATACATATACAATGTGACAACTGGTGCTCAAGCAGCACCAGACAGTGATACACCTTGCACAGGGTAACAACATGCATGGCACAAAACATATGCTATTTATACAATAGCCTTCAAACTGCCGGGAATTACACATTATCCGTCCCCAGTGAATTATCTTTGTAAGTTTCCGAGTTTTTCTTCTTCCAGATCACAACTTGAGACATCGGCTCAGTTACTCTGTTGTTGGGGCGACGCCGCATAAAGAACATTGTGTCATGAACAATGGCGCGCGCGATGTTCAATTATTTGCGACGATGATGCGTTCATGTGACGTCATGTCGCTATGGAACAGTTTTCATAGTGCTAATTATAGTAACTGACGGTAACCTTGCAACATATCCCCGCACGATGAGTCATACATATCAACAGCCGAGCAAAAGAAAGTATAAACCCATGTTTGATGGTGGCTAAGAATGAAACAAAGAGGAAATGTTTTGTCGAAGTGATATATTTGATACGGATATCATAGGTGGCACTGCGAGCACATAAAGATTCAAGGCACATGGGAGACGCAGTTTCAGCAACTGTTTTCGAGTGTAAACTCTCTTTTGCCCGGCAGTTTCTAGGCGTTGTCAGGGAACCTACTTTGGGCAAGAATCTGCCTGGAATCAGCGAGTATCTTTATATGACCGAATCCTGTCTTCGTGAAATGACGAAGACACTGACGGACTATTTCCATATACCTGGAACGAAGGAAAACGAAGAAATGCACATCTAACAATCAATCCGTCCACAGACAGACAGTGACATTCTACTGCAATCTATTTGACGCATTTCTATAATCACCTTTCAATAATCGGTCAGTTGATCAGTGATGACTATGACTAACACATGTAATCGCTACAGCTTAATTTACAACTTCGGATATATCTCCCGTCACGTTTATCACGTGGGCCATTTTGACGTCCTGGGCCCCATTCCACAAAGCGATCCTAGTGGTAAGTCGTACTGTAGCAGTGATATTCTACCGACAAAAGAATAGGGAACTAATGATTTAGCTATCGTTGAGGTGTACATTTGCATTACCCTGGCATTGCATCTGAACGCCACATACAATCATGTATGAGCAGCAGGTCCCAAACTGCATGCGCCTATTTAGGAACACATCAGTAATGCAGTTCAGATACCTGGGCGTGGCAGGCCTAAAACCCCACACCTAGACTTGATCGTCCTGTTACATTAATTGCAACATCTACTGTTAAAAACATATATGTGCAGCGCACCTGAAAGCAGGGCGTTCAGAAACCCTAATAGCTTACTACAAGCGGCAAAGGCTGATGGCGTTACACAATGTTTACAGACGATTCAAGATTTTGCCTCCGATTCTCAGATGGCAGAAAACGTTGTTGGCAACGTAGCGGCGAGCGGTATGCCAGGTCAACAATTCTTGACCATGATTGGTATAGGGGCGGTAGCGTTAAGTTATGGGAGTTCTATGACACATGAAAGGCTAACTGATTTGGTTATCGCGAATGGACTTTTGACGAAATGTTAAGTCATTGTTCAATTCGCTAGAATTGAACTGCATAATGACAATGACAACGTGCCCAGATCGTCACCGATAATCTCCGACGAGAAGGGACCCGGACATTGGCCTGGCCGGCTGAGTCCCATGACCTGTCCTCAACATAGCCTCTGTGGGATGTCCTCGGCTGGAGAGCGTACGCCAGAGACACAGGCCCCACCAACGTGGCCCAGCATGGGGGAGTTCTTCAAGCGAAATGGCGGGCAATACCAAGGGCAACCATACGCACGTTAATTAAAAGTATGTCATCAAGGTTTCGTGCAGTTATCGCCCAACATTGTGGACACACCAAATGTTGATCTACGCGCCCGAAATAAATTTTGCAGACATTTATCGTCATTACACCCTCACCATTATTTTATCAGTTCCCCAACTTTTGGTCGGTGGTATATACAGTTGAACCTCGCCGTATATACAACGGGAGCTGTAGTTCTGTACCAGTGTAGGAGATGGCTGCCCACATCATCACATCTTTCACGAATCGCAACATTCCTGCAAGATCCTGCCATGGCCATCCAGGTCTCCAGATTTAGACCAAATCGAACATTTATGGAATGCACTGGATCAACGACATCGAGCACGTCGTTAGCAACAGCCACACAACCCCCAACAGTTGGCACAAGTACTGCAGGCAGAGTAGGTGAACATTCCCCAGGCCCCAATTCGGGATCTGATTGCTTCCCAGGAACGACGATGCCAGTCAGTTTTGGACGCTAATAGTGGCCATAAAAGATATTGATAACAGATGACCTTGAAAATCTACTGTTTCATGTGTGCCATATGGAACCTGGGTCAATGACAATTTCTGACAATTTCTAAAAATCGATTAGCACCTGTTGACTATTTATATGATATATATTATATACATCTAAAATCACGTTTGCGTTTCTTTTTTTGCAGAGTATATGACAATATTGTCAGACCAACGTACACATTTCGCCTTCATACACCCGTTTCCTCTTTTCTTGTAGGATTGTATATATTACGCCGACATATAGGAGATGTTATGTTCGAAGTATCTTGTTGGGCGTTAGTGGATTTCCAACAAAACATACGCATAACATCTTTTCGAAATTTCTGTCCAGATGCACAGTATAGAAAAAAGTTGCTAGAGTGATTCAGATGCATCAGCAGCTCGGAGACTGTAAAAAAGAGCTGAAATTTGGACATCGCCGCGTTGTCGTGGCCCCTGCTGTTCCAAAACACTGATGCTATGATGCTGACGTTCATTGGAAGCTTGCACAACAATAAGGCGAAGGACACACTGAGGAGCATCCCTGTCAGGCAGGAGTAGGTGTGCACCGAAGATGCTTTCCGTCTTCTCAGGCAGATTTTTTGAAGAATGGCCCTTTGATTGGCTGTCCGTCGAACTTTTGAGATGATAAGTACATTGAAGATGCTGATGATTAAGAATGGGAGCAGGCAGTACGTGGCAGCGTCCACCCAGGGCCAAATCACGGTGATGAGATATTCATTGCCTGCCACGGCGCCACACACTGGGCGAGGGTAAGAGTCTTGTTCTTCTATCAGGCCAACCGTCCAAAGAAAGTGGATGTTTAAACTGAGAAACATGGCATACAATCCACCAATAATCCTTCTCGCACGGGCAACACTGTAAAGGCCTAGAACTTTCAGTGGATAGTACACTACAAGAAACCTCTCTATGGTGACAGCAACCACTATCCATGTAGATATATTGCTGCAAAAATAGCCCAACATAACCATGGTTTTACAAAGCCAGTTAGCCTGAAAACTTAAATCAAAGCCAGTTAGTTCATTGAACCACCTTGGTAGTAGTCCAACCCACAGGACCATAGTGTCTGCCACGGCCAGGGACTTGAGGAACGTGTAGGTGGATGAACGTGGGTTTCCCTTTTGACGCATGATGAAGAAGGACATGAAATTACCACAGATGCCGAGTATAAAGAGTACTGGCGGGATGTACAACATCAGTATCTTATGAGCACGGTATTCAGGGTATTTTAAAAGCGGTTGTAATGTTTCCCAACTGCCGGCAATGTCAAATAGTTCATCTTCACTTTTATTTCCAATGGCAGCAAGTAGAAGCAGTTTCTCATCTCGAGGCAGGTGTTCAATAATGCCAAACAGTGTTTGTGTCGAAATATTCAAGAAGGCTCCCATCCCGCTTGTCCAATCGAAATTGTCCCCCAAGCAGAATCTGCAAAACAAATAGTCAAATTAAAGGTATTATTTATGAATCAAAACAAACTTTACTGTCTGATATCTTCTTGCCCCGAATGTCAAGTCAAGTCCATATTTCGTATGAAGTCCACTGGCCCATTAACATGATTATTACAATACGAGTTTCTTTTAGCAGTTTTTCACAATAGAAGCATTTGAAACTTATTAAGGGTTGGATATTGACAGTACATTTTCGGTAAGTAGTATTCTCTGAGGTGAACATAATAGTCACAGATTAAGACAGAGTGCTGGACCAAGTTTACATGCAGGATATGTTCGTAGTGATAACTCGTAGTGTTACGATGTTTCTTGTCTGAGATTACAGATAGATATTTTTTCAGGTTCTAAACAGTTTTGAACACTCTCAACAACAACTCTCAAGTATTGCTCAAGGTGCTATTTCAGGAGGGAAAATACATATTTAAATACCTGAAGGAAAGCTACTTTATCACCAGCTGATGAGATAGCCACACAAGACCAAATCCGCATGAAAACAACAAATATCGAATATGTGACACATAATTAGTATGTCCAGAATTATCATAATATAAAAGCATATTGTAAACCTTTTTCAGTATCCTACCACCATGCATCCTTATTATTTTCAGCCAATACTTAACAGATCTACATAGAGCGCTTCTGGTGGTCGGGTAGCCTGGTAGTTAAAGCGTTCGCCCGTCACGCCAAAGACCTGGGTTCGATTCCCGACATGGATACAATGTGTGAAGCCCATTTCTGGTGTCCCCCGCCGTGATATTTCTGGAATATTCCCAAAAGCGGCGTAAAACCATACTCCCTCACTCATCACACAGAGCGTTTACATTCAAAGGGTAACGTCCGCATTCATCATAGTCAATAACATTTGGTGTCTGGAGTCCAACATTTAGAAATTTCTTGCATGTTATTAAAGGTACATATTCTATCTTGTTATATCGTTGTAGACCCCCAACTCGTATAAGAACCGTATAGCATGTGTATCGACAAGGTCACGTCTGCTTAAATAGACAGTTACTGTCATTAGAGCTCATTTTCCTCTTGCAGCTAAGTCTTCAATGTATTTATTCTTTTTTAGAGTAATAGAGAAAATAATTTCTAAAGATGTTACAGATAACATTTGCTTCTTTTAATAAAACCACACTTATTTTGCCGATAAGCAACCACCTCTTCTAAATACAACAATTGTTGTCTTTTATAAATCGACTGCTAGACCCCACACGTCTGCTTTGATTCAAGAATGTGAAGTTGCTTCTGTAGTCCTGGTACTGCCAGAATGACGTCATCAGCAAACATAAACAAATGTCCGGAAACAACTGCACTCCATATTTGCCTTTTCTTAAAATTTCGTTTGATAATTCGACATGATAAATGAAAATAACAATGGACTTAGTTTGCTGCCTTGCCTTTGTCCAATTGGACATTGATCTGTACAATCATTATTACATCTTACACGTTTTTACTGATTTACTATGACGTTTGTCCTTTTAAACCAGCCGAATACAAGCACTGCCAAAGCTATGTGAATTAAACGAGATTTATTTCATAAAAATACAATGAAAGCAATATAAAGTTTCTGCATTCGTGCCCAGGTCGGGAATTAGAATACTGTTTTATAAGAGGGAAATACATCAGACTCAAATAACTTCGACTTTACAAGAAAAGGCATAGTAGTATTTACATATTGCTTTGACATACGAGTCAATCATCATATTATCCTTTCCATACGTTTTGCCGAGTGATACAATGCTAAATTAATTTCTGCTTCTGTTATACGTGATTCAAATATACACAGATAAACATAATCAAATAGCAAATGATCATGGACAATATCATCATTAATATTTACTTCACATGAGTATCACCGTTGGTAAATATATTCAGGAATCATTGTCGATATTCGACTGATTATCAGATCGTCTCGGTTCTTTCCAAAATCTACAGGAGTCTTTAACTGATAGATGAATCTTTGTTCTTTTCCTTCTCCGTTTAGCTTGTCTGCTAACAATTTATATACATTTCTTGTATGGCAGTAGATACGTTTATGTTCACCTCATCTATCAATCTGATTGGTCTCAGACAGTTTCTTGCTTCTTCCCTAACATGTTTACAATAAACCCACAGACACCGACTGTTCCTCGGGGTGCTTGCTGAGTAGGTGCCTGTGGCTTGTTCATGTGTCACGTGAGTTACACATGCGTTCAAGTTGCCGCAAATTACGACGTCAAAGTCCCTTTTTTCCTTTAAAACATTGTAATCTCTTGTGTCTAGATAGTTCAGGTTTGGTTTAACATGACAACTTATGTATGTAGCCATATTAATAATACCACAAGAACTTTTAAAAGTGAGAATTATATATTTCAATTTTCGTTTTAATGTAGGATTCATATTTTGTATATTTGTATCGCATGTTAAATGTTAAAGGTGTTATCCATAAATTGTGTCTACTTTGTCATCCGTCAACTTCTAAGTTACGCCTATCAAACAATTGTTGTGTTTGAACTAGCTGCAACATAAAACGTCGAACCATTGGGTAAGACATGCACACAAAACATAAATACTTGCTTATTCTGATACCGACATGAGGAATGTTTGAGGTGTTTAGTTAATTAATTCTCTACAAACAAGAACACACCACCAGATAATCTCCCTCCTTCAGCAAGCTAATGTGTATTAGCAATATCAACATCATAAGCTGAAAGCTGGGAATGGATGACGCTTGATCAAGAAAAGTTTCGACAAGGCATATAATTTCAATATTCCCACGTAAAACATGTTAAAATGACAAGGAGAGGTGGGTATCCCTGTAACTGCTACATGCTCTCGGTAAGGATCACGGGCCAGGCCGTATCCCTATTGCTCTCCATGTGGGTACCGGTAGTGGGGAAGTTGATGTTTCTGACGCAGGTGTGGGAGGAGACACATGATCGCTTCGATCAGCACTTGATCCGAGAACGTTGGATGCTTGATACAGTCATGGCACGGGCAAATTTATCTTTAGTCTTACGCCTATCTAACCACCAACATTATTTCCAGGCTTTGTTATTTTATTAACTGTCAATTTTTATTTAAGGCTATGCAACCTTTTGTCCTGAGGTCAGTTATCGTGTCTCTTTTCCGTTTAGTCAAATCGTTTGCAAAACCATTGTTACTGTTTCACAGTAATATTTTCGTCAGTAAAGGCAAACTTGGCAATTAATGGGCTAGGCTTATCCCATTCACATCCTTGCCGTCGATCCAATGCGCAAGGAAAATGTCATTATTTTACCAAAACTTTCTTTTGACATGATTATTGAGAATGTTGATTACTTACTGTTTCAGGCATACCATTAAACTCAACGTAGTCACAACTAAACGCTTCTAGTCTATGGATCTCTCTGCCTTGCTTGGATAACTCACTTATCACATCTTCAGGTTTCTGGGTGAGTACATCGATATCACTGTATATCGTCATTTGTTCATGACTAATTCTCACAACATCTGTACTCATACCAGAAACTTTTGTTTCTACCGATGAATATTTAGAAATACATTATTTTTCAATATAGCCTCCTTGCAGATCAATACACTTGTTCCATCTCTTCTCCAGGTCAGTGATCCCTGTTTGTAGAAGGTCAAATCCTGGTCTGTCAGCCAGCAATGCACAGCAGCAACCAATTCTTGATGGCAGTCACTGGAGGGCAGATCTGGTGAATAAATTGGATGGGGATGAGGCTCGTAGCCACATCCCAGTGCAGCAGCCATTGTAATAAAACCGGTGTCAAGTGGAACAGTGTCCTGATGGGGGAGAACGCCATGTAGACGTCTGCCTGGTGTCAAGTGGACCAGTGTCCTGATGGAGGCGAACACCATGTAGACGTCTGCCTGGTGTCAAGTGGATCAGTGTCCTGATGGAAGAGAACACCATGTAGACGTCTGCATTGTGTCAAGTGGAGTAGTGTCCTGATGGAAGAGAACACCATGTAGACGTCTGCCCGGTGTCAAGTGGATCAGTGTCCTGATAGAGGAGAACACCATGTAGACGTCTGCATTGTGTCAAGTGGAGTAGTGTCCTGATGGAAGAGAACACCATGTAGACGTCTGCCCGGTGTCAAGTGGATCAGTGTCCTGATGGAGGAGAACGCCATGTAGACGTCTGCCCGGTGTCAAGTGGTACAATGTCCTGATAGAGGAGAACACCATGTAGACGTCTGCCTGGTGTCAAGTGGAGTAGTGTCCTGATGGAGGAGAACGCCATGTAGACGTCTGCCTGGTGTCAAGTGGATCAGTGTCCTGATGGAGGAGAACGCCATGAAGACGTCTGCCTGGTGTCAAGTGGATCAGTGTCCTGATGGAGGAGAACACCATGTAGACGTCTGCCTGGTGTCAAGTGGATCAGTGTCCTGATGGAGGAGAACACCATGTAGACGTCTGTCTGGTGTCAGGTGGATCAGTGTCCTGATGGAGGAGAACACCATGTAGACATCTGCCTGGTGTCAAGTGGATCAGTGTCCTGATGGAAGAGAACACCATGTAGACGTCTGCCCGGTGTCAAGTGGATCAGTGTCCTGATGGAGGAGAACGCCATGTAGACGTCTGCCTGGTGTCAAGTGGTACAGTGTCCTGATAGAGGAGAACACCATGTAGACGTCTGCATTGTGTCAAGTGGAGTAGTGTCCTGATGGAGGAGAACGCCATGTAGACGTCTGCCTGGTGTCAAGTGGTACAGTGTCCTGATGGAGGAGAACGCCATGAAGACGTCTGCCTGGTGTCAAGTGGATCAGTGTCCTGATGGAGGAGAACACCATGTAGACGTCTGCCTGGTGTCAAGTGGATCAGTGTCCTGATGGAGGAGAACACCATGTAGACGTCTGTCTGGTGTCAGGTGGATCAGTGTCCTGATGGAGGAGAACACCATGAAGACGTCTGCCTGGTGTCAAGTGGATCAGTGTCCTGATGGAGGGAAC